CCCCCTCCCCCTCCCGCTCTCCCCTTCCCTCCTTTTTCTCACTTTCTTTTGCTCCCTCCCTCCCTGCAAAACCATTTGGCTTTTATGATGAGCCTCACAGCACCACCTGATTGCACACAACGATGCTTTTTCTTCCTGACACCATCAGACCCCAAGGTGTATAAACTTCCTTATTATATCCAGGCCCTTAAACAGCATCAGTCACACCCAGAGTGAAAGCACAGCACAGTTCCCAAGGATTTGTCTTTGGGTGGCTGAAACTCAATGCCTACGCGGGAACCATACTCCCTTTCCAGCAGCTGGGCCACTCCTCCTGCCCTGCCAAGCTTTCTCCCCATCTTCAACTCTGCCTTTGTAAAGCCAGAAGCCCAGCATGCCTGCCTGGAATATTAACACAGCCTTCCAGATGCGCCGAGAAGGCCAGACAATCTGCAACCCCCAGGGGCCAGTTGGAGAGCGCTGGAATCCAGTGCCTGGAGGGGGGCATGCCTGCTCATCATAACTGCTATGTGGTGTCCAGAGGAGGGCCCCCATGGGGACACAGGCAGGAGGCTGGAGGCCCCAGGCTCACCTTCCAGACAGCATAAATCCACTGCCATAGGTTCCACTCCCTGTGGCCCACACACAGGCGGGTGACTGCTGGAATGAAGGCCTGAGGTAAGTTTGAAGGAGATTAAATTAAAAAGCCAAAGCTTCTGAGCACCAGGAGGCCTCCGCAACCATAAATCTGCTTTCAAGGAGCACTGGGGCAAGAATGGCTTTATTTAAGTTGCTGATGAGAGAGGCCTCTGCAAAGGCAGACTCTCACAGCACACAGGCGTGGGCAGGGCCTGAGTCCCGGCAAGGCCTGGTACAGCAGCCAGGGTGTAGTACCTTGGACAGTGAAAGGGGATGCGGATGGACTGTGGAGTTAGCAAAAAGGAGGCTTCCTCTCAGACCTGTCACTTTAGGGCAGTGCAACATCAGGCAGGTCACCTAACCTGTCTCTTTCCTCAATGGCAAACACATGAAATCAAGTGTGGTTATGAGTGGATGTTACGAGTCTGTGAGCACCTGCCCACAAACACCACCAACATGGTAGTCACAGCAACAATAGAGTCAACGATGCCTGTGGGGGAAAGTAAACAAGACACTGGACAAGATAATCATTGTGTGCCACACAGTGTCCACTCTTTAACCTCCATGACAACTCTACAATGAGACGCCATTACAGTTCCTGGTTTGCAGCAGAAATGGAGGCCCAGAGAGTCCAAAACCCTTGCCCAGGGACACACATCAGCCAGTCAGGGACTGTTCCAGGATTCAAACCTTGGCAACCAGGTACTTCTGTGACTACTGAACACTCAGTTTCATTTGAGGGCCTGACTCTTTGTCATCCTAAGTGTGCTATGTGTGGCTATGACAGCCCCCCAAATCTCTCTTATTCCATGAAAATCAGCTCCCATTAATAAGCCTGAAAGTTACAAATGCAGCGTGGAGCCCGAGGTGTGCACAGAGCCAGTAGCTTTCAAAGACACCCCAGCCACCAGCTGCACACCCCCATGAAGCACACACAGATAGCTGAGGCAAAAGGGCCCCTCCAGGACTCCATGGGGCAGAACCAACCAGCGACCCAGTAGTGACAAGGAGGCCCAGTGGGCATGATGGCACGTTGACCTGTGGGGCACCATCAGAGATTCACAGTCACTGAAACCAAGTTTGTGCTTTGCATCTTGCATCGATTCCTTTGGGTGAAGTCATAGGGAGGCGGCACAGGGCATGGGCAGAAAGAACAGCCTCTGGACTTTGCCACCCATTCTTCAGCCTTGACTGAAAGGCCTTACCCAAAAGGCCTTACCCATGTTACCCCACCTCTCTGCCTCAGTTTCCTCATGTATAAACTGCAGCTAATTTACGCATATGAGTCATTTTAAAGATTGCAAGTATTCTTAGCAACCAAGTTTATGGAATACTCCCCAGCCCTCCAAACATGCTAGGCTGTAAAACTGTGCTAACCAGAAAGTATCCTATCATTCATCAGCCCACTCTTCAAAAGGCTGCTTTGGAGGGCTCCATTACCTCCATGGTGCCAGCCTTCAGAGACTTCACAGAAGAGCCAACATTTGCTCCTAACCTTGGAACAGGACCCCAAAGGACAAAGAGCTGACTCAGCACTTGTGCCTCACAGTGTGAGGCACATCAAATTATCCTTTTAAGCAAAAGCAAAAGTCCTGCTAGAAAGGTGCAGTCTACAAAGGCCGTGTCTTAAGTACTCACTCTCTAGGACACTGGGTGTGGTGGTGTTTAGATGCTCGAGAATTTCACACCAACCCCAAGACCCCCTTAAGTGTCTCCTTGCCTACCTATGTCCTGTCTGGAGAGGAAGTAGCCTCATTCCCTCTAACAGGGTCTTCTCCTGCCATCCACAAACACTGAGCCCTGTGGTACCTCTCACAGAGCTGGGCTCCAGCTCACACAGGATTCATACAAGCCTGAGAATTCCACTCCCAGCCATGCCAGCCATGGATGGAAGCACAAGTCTTCTCACCCTTCCGCCAAAACACTCAAGCCTAGAGACATTTGTCCAGCATAATGATGACAAGCCTTTACATCATGAGCA